GACGCGATTCGCGCGGTGATCTAAGCCGGCCCAGGGTGATCGCGCGGATCCCTTCAATGAATTAATTACCGTCCGGCCGGCCGGACGGTTAGCTAATTTGTTGGAAGAAATTACATCACGCCAGCGTTATTCCTGTTCCTCGAATTACCAGCGTTCACGTGTGTGTCCCCGTCCTGTTTCCGGCCGGCCGACGAAATAGGTTATGTCGATCGACCCGAGAACTCGGCCGTCTCGATCGCGCGCGCGGTCGATCCAGGGCTGAATCGAGTCGAGCGATACGGCAATTAGGGCGGGAACGGGCAGTTCGTTATTTTATCGACACTCTCGCGGCCGTTTGAAATCGATTGCGACTACCTTTTCCGTTATCCTCGATCGGACGAGGTCGATTAACCCTTTGCACTCGACAATATTTTTCATTAAAAGTATTCATTACTTTCCGACTAAATATTAACGATGTTTCTCGCAACTAACACAATTGATTATCTGCTATAAACTAAGGGACAGAACAATTTTACTTGGATGTTTTATGTGTTGATACATTACACAAGGTTTAATATTGAATTGAAAATTTTCTAAGTTTGCTGCGTCGAATTAATTAATTTGCGAACGAAGATTCCTCGAAATGTACAAAATATTCAACAGAAGCTAAATTATATATCGATTACTTAAATGATAGGAGAAACAGAAATTATGCGCTGATCTCTTGGTGTTCGAGTAATTAAATTAGTTGTCTGCGACTTAATCTTCGAAACATGAAATGAAACGAGATGAAAAAGCGAGATGAAAGGTTCAGGTTTGGAAAACTAAGTCGCCGGCAAATCATCTAATTAGTCGAACGGCAAGAGACCAGTACGTAGTTTTCTTCTTTCTATTAATTAAGCGAATGATATACAATTTAGCTTCGTATGTTAACCCTTTGCGGACGAAGACTCTTTAAAGTACACAAAGCTTGCAACACGCAAAGCTAAATTATACATCGAATGCTTGAACAATAGTAAAAAACGGGACTACACACTGATCGCTTGCTATTCAAGTAATTAAGTCATTCGTTTGCAACGTGGTATACCAAATATGAACATTTCATCTGACCGAAACGTCCGCGTTCGTTCGCAAAGGGTTAAAGGTTTCCTACGATTCGAAGAGTCTTCGTCCGCAAAGTGTTAACTCTTTGAACTCTGTAGGCTCCAATATTGCACCAGGAATGATATTAGATATTTCAATGAATCTTAAAGAAACTGTCCTACAATTATTCAATTTCTCACACATCCAAATTTTCCACTAAGAAGGAAAATCAAAGATCTAAGAAATGTTATAGCATTTCTCATTTTTGCTAGGGATACTACAAAAATTAGTCGCAGCTGACGATAGATTACAAAACCATCTGGAGTGCTAAGGGTTAAAACGTTCGACACGAGTTCGACGCGTGATTGCGAGGCAAGGGGTGAAGGCACGCGTGTTTCGTAATCTCGATTACATTTTGTTCAACTCAACGAGGGATCTATTCAGAAAATAAGGGGAACAATGGTATTTGATTTCCACATTTCACGTATCGACAGATTACCATTTAACTCAATGTTAAATACGAAATTTTCCTTAAAATATGCCTAGTGACAAACTTCCGAGTGCTAAGGGTTGAAACGTTGGCCACAAGTCCGACGCGTTATTGCGAGGCAAGGGGTGAAGGCACGCGTGTTTCGTAATCTCGATTACGTTGTCGAGAGCGTCGGGTCCTCGAGCTAAAAGGAATTGTTTCGTAAAACGATCAGAGGCCATTTCCTTGGCCGCGTGGATACGCGAGATATTTCCTGTTCTATATTTCGGTCCGTGGAGGAGGTATACACGCGCGCGGCGTTCGATATCGTTGATTGAGCTGAAGAGCCGAGCCCTCCCTCCCTCCCACCCAGCAGCCCCCGTGCGGCAGTCGATACGAGGGCAAACAGAGCGGCAAAGTAAGAGGGACGGAGAGAATCCTTTCGCCGCGTCCGATTCCCAACTATTTTCGTATTCCCGTATTTTCACGCGGATTCCCCTCTATTGTTTTACAATGGTTCTCGAACAATCGTCGCCGGGGATCGAGGAGGAATTCTTGATATCGACTGGCTCGCGCGACCCGTCCAACCTTTTTATCGTTAAACACTCGACGCCCCTGAGAGGAGCTCGTTCAAAGAGCTCGCCGAACGCGGATTTTCGTCGTCGAGACGCGAGAACGATAATCGAGATCGAATTAATCGCGACAGACGATTTCCGTTTGAAACTTTCACGCGAGGCAGAGCTTACGCTCGAGTTTTACCCTTTACGGACGAACGTGGACATCTTGGCGAGACGAGATGCTCGTATTTGGAATACCACGTTGCGGACGAATGATTTAACCCTTTGCACTCGAGGGGTGACTCTCAGTTCAATTGAATTCGACAAATTTAGAACGGCGAATTAACAATTAAATTAACGTACGAGTTCGTAGAACGAAATAAATTGTAAAAGATATAACATTCAATCATTCGATCGGATTGCATTGTTATTGTTGTGTTCTTCGAATAATCATAGTTTAACCCTTTGCACTCGAGAGGTGACCCTCAGTCACTTGATTCGATGCAACAGAACTACGAAGTTGAATATTTAATATTTCAAATGAAACTTCGCATTATTACGTGAAATGTTGAAATAAAACACCTCTGTTGCTTAATTTATCTATGAATTATCGTTAAATTAGTTCTAAACAATATCACCTATATCTCGGCAAAAAGTGTTGAATATTTCCATTCAG